TCCGGGTTGCGAGGGTTTCGGGTTCCAGGTTAAGGGATTTGAGTTTACGCTGTTGGTTTCTTATCTTTCTGTGTTCTGCGTTCTTATCTTGTATGGAGGATAGAAAGGGTCCTCAGATTTTCAGGAGTTTCAGGAACGATCCTCGGCATAGATAGGAGCCGAAGCTTTGAATTGTCTGATGCTTTATAGGGGTCCTGGAGAAGGCAGGTCTTGTTGGGCCCTGGCCGACCCCTCACCACAAACCGTAAGGCACCGTGAGGAGAAAACAACAGTAAATCCGGCTTTACTATAGAGCATTGAAGAATTTATCACCAAGCACGGTTCTGACCCGACACACAGACGGAACGGGATTATACACATCGCACTGGTCGAAGCCTACTGTATGGTGACGATAAGTAGTACCCAACTGAAACATACACTGTTTAGACGCCGAAGATCCCAAAAACCTGCACCTTGCAGACATGATGCATCCAATACAAACCTTGCAAAACGGAACATACAGTTGAGAACGTTCCATTTATTTGGCAAGGGCCTGCTTAACAACCGGCCGACACTTTACGACGCCTTACACTCCATCACCCAGTAGCACCCATTCAAAACCTGCACAGCGCTATTGGCCGTATGCACAAGCCGCATAAGACCTTCTGGGACCCAGAAGGTCTCGACCAAGTCATCAAGCCGTGGACTCGGAACGCCCAAACCTTCAAAAGCTCTACATGCTTGAAAGTGCTTTAATCCCTGTAACCCAGATCCCCAAACCCTAAAAATCCTGAGACTGCCAAACCCTCAAAATTAAAGTCCCTAAACTGCGAACCCTAAACCCCTAAACCTTTAAAGTTCCCAACCTGTAAGCCCAAAAAATTCCCTAACCCTATAAAGTCCCTGAAACGTAAACCCTAAATACCCTATACCTTCAAAGTCCCTAAACTGTAAACCCTACATTCCCTACCTCAGCCTACCAAACCCTACCTTTTTTGTAGGTCCTTATTATAAACTAGAGGGACCCTACAAAAACGTAGGGTCTGGTAGGTTAAGGTAAACCTTTAAAAAGTCCTTAAACTGTAGACCCTAAATTGCCTAAGCCTTCAGGATAAGGTAAACCCTAAATTCCCTAAACCTTTAGGATGGCTTATATAGCATCTACTGAGGCCCCAAAGTACTTAAATAGGGACTACATTAAGGCCAATGTATATACTATATGAGTACATGGACCCTTAGGGTAAATTCCCTAAACCTTTAAAGTCCCTTAACCGTAAACCCTGAACCCCTAAACCTTTGAAGTCCCTAAACTGTAAACCCCCTCCAAATTCCCGAATCCTTTAGGAGGGCGTCCGGATCCGGGCTGTGAGCTGGAATGTGGCGGCCGTCAACAACAATCCCTTCGAGCACCCTGCTGTCAGTTCGTGCTTTTGTTGTCTAAACTTCGTTTTGGGGGGTCCTTATAATGAGGATCCCACTATTTTTTTGGGGGTTCGATATTAGGATCCCCTGAATTTCTCCAGGGTCTTGGGGTTAGGGTTCAAGGTTTAGGTTCGGTATTTCGTTTTCTGGTGTTCTTTGAAGATTTGTTTGGTGTTCCTTCAAGGTTTCTTTACATAAGAAGTCTATATGAGGGTTCTAAAGGGCTTAGGGTTCGTGTTCTCCCTATTGGGTCCAGTAAAACTTCTGCATGCTGCCTCGGCTGCATTCAACTAGTTGAGATGCAATGTGGTGGAGTGCAATAGATCCAGTCAGAATTTCGCAACACAAAACCAATGAGCACTCATGGAAACGGTGCATGCTGCTCTGCTCAGCATAGCGCCGTTGGACCACGAGATGGACTGCATAGTTTTCAGAAGAATGAACGTCGAGGCACAGTCCATAGCGAGGCCTTTGGCACATATAAACTTCAAATTCAGGGCTGTGGGTTCGGGGTCGGAGCCATTGACTAGTTGAAGTCTCAAGATACAACGTTTTGGATGCTTCTAATCATTTCCCAGAGGGTCCAGTTATGCTACCATTATGGAATTAGGGCCCCCAAACCATTATAGGGATTGTCTTCTGGGACCTCATTCCATAATGGTAGTTCTCTTTGTCTTAGTTGGGTAGCATTTTACATTTTTATGGGTACTTAAACCCAATAAGACAAATATATATATATATATATATATATATATATATACATACATACATACATACATACATATTTTTAGTCCTATCCCAACAATGAACTAGATATATGGACCCTCTGGGTTTTGAGGGACTCATTGCAGACGGAGCCGGTACCGCCGTGAAGACTACACACTCGAAGATCCGGCGCCTCGATAGAGCAATCCGAAGACCCCAATTAAACGAAGTACGAAGCCTTAAATCCGAGACTATACAGTAGAAGCCAGAAAGTTGGAATATCATTATCCTAACCCCTTTAAGGTAAATTATAGGCGATCCTACCATTAATCCATATTCCAACTTTCTGGAGTTCCCTGTAAGGGGCTTCATATTATGATTTAGGCTATGTTCCTTAATTAAGGGGTATTGGGCTCGCTGGGTATCTAGGACCTAGAGTAGGGCCCTTATTCCCGTTTTAAGGGTTCATGTTCCCTTAAAAGCCCCTTTAAACCAAAAAGGTTACTCTTGGGTCTAGAATCCAAAGACCTTTGTTTAGCTACCCTAAACATCCCTATACTACTGTACCCTCGAACGTCAAAGGGCCTAGTCTGATCATTCAGGCCCCTTCACGAAACCCTTCTGGTAACCCTGTTCAAACTGCTCAAACTCTGCAAAGGGAAACCTTAAAGGAACCTTGTCTAATATTTCAAGGCTCCGATATTACAAAACCCTAGACCCTGAAACCCTAAACCCGACACCTTAAACCCTAAACCTGATAAACCCTATAAACCCATACACTGCCCAGGTATTGGATCACGCACCCTTCCACCGAGTATCGAGACTTGATGGAGTCGGTCGAGAAGTTCATCGTCGATCCTGGCGAGGATCTTTGTTAGAGTGTTTCGATGTTTGGGGGGTTTAGGGTTTAGAGAGTTTAGGGGGTTGGGTTTACCGTTTCGGTCTTTGCGGGGTTTGGGTTTGGGTTTTTTTGGCTCCTCGCTCCGTCAGCACGATTGTCGCCATCGCCATCGTCTGTGCCATCAGACTTCCTGCTATTACCCTCCCCAGCAACTGAAATGTTCGAACCCTAAACCCTAAACCCTAAACCCTAAACCCTAAGCCTTAGCTCCGGAGTCCCAGCCTACAGTGGAACACAACTGGATCTCGTATCCGTGGTGAGGAGGATGTGCCGTTGCACGCCGTCTTCACGGCCCCTTGGCGACCTTGCACCCCTAAGGACCCCGACTTTTTTGACCTGAACGCCTTCGAAGACTTTCGTTCGGGGCTTTTCGCAGATTTCTATATGGGAGTTTCCGAAAATAAGGGACCCTAATATAGTGCCCTAAATAGTAGGATCCTTATTATAAGGACCCCCCAAAATAGGGTACCCCTATTTATCGGAAACTCCCATATAGCAGGTATATAAGGATCCCAGGGCCAAGGGCCCATGCTAGGGGCCCATGGCTTCAAGCCTAGAAAATTAGACGATTCGGGGTGTAGTAAACCCTAAATGCTAAACCCTAAACTACCCTAAACCCTAAACCCTAAACCCTAACCCTTAGCAGAAGGCCCTAGAATCTTAGACTGGTTTTAAGCTGTTCGGGTCGAGGCTGCGGGGGCCGATGAGCATCGCCAGTGGAGAGTATACAGTACAGTTAACCCCATAAAGTTGGAAACCGGATTAAGGCCAATTAGTGCTGGGATTTTCCCTATACATTGCTTTTGAAAATTGGGGCTATTGGGTTTCCAACTTTTGGGCTTCTGTCGCAAATGGTATGCTGCATATACTATAGCGTGTATTGCATACAGGATATAGTGTTATAGTGTAAAGTATATCGTAGACACTGGAGTTCATAGTATATAGTGATCGTGTATAGTATACTATATAGTAGATAATACATAGACCACAGTATACAGGATGCAGTATACAGTTTATAGTATATGTTGTACAGAGTTTTGAGACTATCTCCACGGGCTTGGTCCATCAATGCGTTCGCCGATTTTTGTCGGAGTAGAGGTTGGGGAGCGCAGCACCTGGGGGTTCAGGGTTCAGGGATTCGGGTTTGGGGATTAGGGTTTAGGGATAATTTGGGATTAGGATCCCATGTGCATGGGACTTTGGACGGCAGACAGAAATTGAGATACCCGGTTTTGTTAAAAAAATGCAGGGGTCAGGATATCGTACTGGCGGATGATCCTTGGACAGTGCCCTTATTACCATGGATAGAAGAGTGCTGGGGAAACAAAAAGCCTCAGTGCAAGAGCTGGCGGACAACAGAAAAGAGGAGAACGAGGCCGCCCGCGTGCGAGCAAGGAGCTTGTCAGCAAAACCGAGGCGACGGTTTAGGGTTTAGGGTTTAGAGTCCGTGGAGCTATTGCATCTAGTCTGTAGCTCAATTCAACAGTGCAGACCACTGCGCACCCACGATGCGCGACCCTGTGTACCGTCCAGCATTCTGCAAAGCAAAATCCCAACATCCAGATATGGACCCCCGAAGCACCGCACAAGTGACCTAATGAAGCGAAGACGAACTTTTAAACTCCCGACTCATACCCTGAACCTGAACCCTCATCCCGAAACTCTGAACTCTGAATCCTACCTAGAGGGTCATACCCTGCCCCTGTTTTAAGGTACCTCGTTTATATGATTAGGATATGTTCTCTCGAAAGGCACCATAAGAAAGGGGTAGGTTATGACCCAATATGAAACCCTGAACATGAACCTGCAGACCCTATGAACCAGAAAACCTTAACCCAGTAGTAGAGTAGGGAAAATTTAACCATTCTGGGCTCCTGTAATCCCCATACAATCCCAATTTTTTTCCCCAACGGTTAACCGCTAGTTCCCCAGTTAATTAATCACAGCTCAACGCTGATCCAAGGAGTCGATGTTCCAGACCCTTCTCGCAAAGATGCGAGCTGCAGGGCTGGAACAAGCCCGGAACCCTGGACGTGAAGGGTTCAGGGCCTCGCGTTTCGAGCTCGAATTGGGGTTTAGGGTAGGGTTTAGGATACGAAACCTTACACCTCTCTGAACAAGCGAACCTTAAATACTAAACCCTCTTAGCGCTTGAGTAGGTAACCTTTAACCTCTTGGGGCAGATATAATCCTACTATAATTCAAGAGGTTAACCTTTCTCTGAGCTAGGGTACTCAGCCCCTAAACCCTTAAGGTCTCTAAGGCTATTTTGGGTTCAGGTTCTGCGGAAGACAAAAGGTTGCAGGCCCAACGATTCTCTTTTTCAGATTGCTGTCAGATTTTGATGGGGGGTCTAGGTACTATCTCCACAGAGAACCATCTGTTTAAAATCCGGCTTTCGGGGCTTTCAGTCTTTTCAAGAACTGCATCCTAGATCCTAAGCCCCAAGCGTGGTACACGGGGCCGACCCAACCCCAACTCTTGCGCACCGAACTGTGATACCTGCGGCCTACACCCTGAGCCCGTGAATATTTCGGCTTTAAGGCTTTAAGGTTTTCAACCCATTACTCATAGCTAGGATGTTAGGGATTTTGGGTGTTGTTCTGGGTGTAATGTACAGATTTGACGTCCGAAGTCAACTCAAAACCCATCGACGCTAGACTGTAAAATCGGATTCGGCGCGGCTGCACGTGTGCCAATTCCATTGGCCCATCCCTTGCCTCGGATCCGGCTCCAGTTTTGAGATGGGGTTTAGGGTTTAGGGTAATTACCGTTTGGGATGTCTGGCTGGTGCTGACCTCTCTACCATGTTTTTGATTCGCAAGCTCGCGTATGCTGAACAAACAAGTTGGTGAAGGTTCACGTACTCTGCTCTTACCTGTCAGGATCCTTCTTCCGATTCCCGAAGGGTACATGCACCTATATGCAAACGGGTTATAGAGTGTCAGTATCGGTACCCCTCGTGCCACGGTATAGTGGATATGGATATATACATGGAACCTTGGGGTACTGTTAGCAACACTAATGCGATAGATATGGGAGTTTCCGAAAATAGGGGGACCCTAATATAGTACCCTAAATAGTAAGACCCTTATTGTAAGGACCCCAATCTATTTTTTTGAAACTCCCATGTCTTTATATACACCGTTCTGTTCACATCAACCGAGAAGCCCACAACACTTGAACCTTCAGGCCTCCCCGACCCTAGACTCTTACACCACTCTACTTGTACCTTGAGCTGCCAAGGGTCCCAATAACGTCTAGATGAGGGTTAATAAATGTGTCTTATCCTACAAAACCTAGGCTATGGCAGTTAAAATGTTCTGGTAGTGTACATAAGGTTGTTTTGGCAAGGTCGACGCAGTGGAGAAACTGTGGCCCTCGTATCGTAGCTCGGCTGTGTTTGGGCTTCTGGAAAGTCTTCGCACCAGGCTGGGCGTTCAAGTTTCAGGATTGTTACCCTTAGGCTCTAAGGACTCATGTTTTAAGGCTTTTGGGCCCAAAGACCATACTATATAAGGCTTTTGGGCTATTTTGAGCCTTAGGGTTAAACTAAGCCTAAAACCTCAAACCTTTAACAACGCTTTTCTTTGTCAAACAGGGGCAGTTTTCAGCTCTGGATTCAGACTGTCGGGTTGATTAGGCTTTTGGGCTTGGGTTGTTGGGTGTAAAGGGAAGGTTTTTGGGAAGGTGACGATTTAAGGATGTTTTGGGGCTTTCGGAGTTCGAGACTCGGATGAAGGGTTTATGGCAGATTCCTGTAGAGTTTAGGAAGTGTAGGGTTTAGTAGGGTTTGGGGTCCAGGGTAGGGTTGGAGAGTTAGGATTGAGGCTTACGGCTGAAGATTACGGTGCCGGGGCCGTCGGGTAAGTTCTAAAAAATGTTTCAGGATGTCAGGATTTCTTGAGGTCTTTTGAGGCGTGGCACAGTTTTATGCGTAGCGCCCGTGGCTTGTGGTGCATACCAAGGCTCCCGGCGAATCGTCTCGGAGTTCCTCAAAGATGCCACGATTGGCAAGAAGCGCGGCTCGGTCTCAGCAGTATAAGGAGGTTTGGGACCTCGTAAGTATGATTAGAAGTACATTGAACTGGGCTTAGAAGTAGTTGTGAGTATAAAAAGTTTCCTTATCACCCGAGTTACTAGCTCCCATGATCCTCTATGTAGGGAGGTTTGGGATACTTCCGGTCAATACAAAACCTCTTGGACCCCGAAGCTCCTGAAAGAAAGCGACGATCTTCATTTTGTACTATAACTACCAATACTATTTTTGTGGGTTCCTTTTCATATAGTAGTTTCATGTACCGCAAAACCCTATTCTAACTATTAAGGCCCCTATATTGCCTCATGCTGGGCTGTGCTATGTGCTATGTGTAACACTAACCTGCATGGAATGCATGCAGTAGGCGCCTGCTCCTCAAACTCTTAAGCTTCGTGGAAATGAACCTTTATCCACTGTATAGGTAGTTTGGTTTTTCGGATACGACGCAAGTTGCGATTTAATCGCACGTTCTGCAGCTCAGGTCTTGCCAGCATGCCAGATCGTGTCACCAACACGATCGAGCTGGTCTCGGGGGACAGGGCCTACAGGACAGAAGCCGTGGTTCAGGGTTGACGCCACAAAGTTAACATGAGGGAGATCCTACACCGTAGATCCTTAAACCCTAAGCCCACCTCATACGGGGGCCTTCGATAATTACCTATACGATGTTTAGGGGTTCCTTATTATACTTATGGTATAACAGACCCCAAAATTAAATCCTATTCCAATTGTTAAGGCCCCTACTTTTAAACCCCAACACCTAGACCATGAAGATCCGTGAACTCCGTACCCTGGGGTTGAGGTTGCTCTGAGAGCCCTTGCGGGGCAGGAGAGCGTCACATGTTCATCGGGCTCGGCATTTTTGTGCAGAGTTTCGACAGGTTCCAAATCCACCAAGCGGATTTCTGAAATCCGGGTATTGTACTATCAGGTCTATACTCTTCATGATTCTTCAGGAACAGTAGCCTAGTGTATAATGGTGCGCGTAGGAGACTGTGTTCCCAGGGCTTCGCCAAGATACAGTGGATGATGGGGCTGTGCAAGGTTGCAAGGGAATTCGGAGATTTGAGCTCAGGGTTTAGGGGGACGGCGGGAGGCGCACATGGTGTGAGATGGCTTAAGCTTGTTTCTGCGGACGTTGCTAGATGCTCTTGCCTATGGCTTCCGATAGCAGCTTTGTCCATCAGCAGTATCAGGCCGACAGTCATCAACTGCTTTCCAGATGAACTGGGATCGATGCAGGCTTGGACACTGAAAAGTTCGGGAGCCTTCAGGGTAAACAAGTGTCGAGACTTAACCCTATGAAAATTGAAGGACTTGAAAGAAACACATCTGGGTGTGAAGTCTAAGGGGTAGTTCCAGATTTGAGTATATTCAAACAGGTAGGCTCCAAGTCTTGGAAGTATGTTGTTGTAGAAGGAGCCATGTTGGAAAGAGTACGTCACAACAGCACCGTAATCCCCGTGTAAGCATACTTATATTAACTACACTTTTGAACCCAGTTATCAAGAAGCGAAGAGACTCGACACTCATGTTGGAATTGTGTGTTGGTGTTCGGGCCTTAGGGTGGTGGGGTTTATGGTTATGGTTGCTCCGAGTCCTAGAAGTCTTGACCCTTCAGCGACACATCAGGTCCCCAATCCGGTGCCGAACCGGATCTTATGTGCGCTCGAAACTCGGGCATCGAGATTGAAAGTGGAATCAATCCTGCAATATCCTGCATCCCTGCCACAATCCCTTCAGACGAAAAATCTTAAAACAATCTTAAATAAATACTAAGCCACACCCTATGAGCTCAACTCCGCCAGGCATGGTTCAGCAAGTGGATTGACTTTTTCTTCCACACCGATGTGAACGTGGACGGGAAGGGTCCAAAGAAGCTCGGATGACGAATGAATGGGACCACCTTTTTTGGGGGCTGCTTCTTTGCTACTGGTGCCGCTACCGCTACCGCTACCACCACTAATTAATCCTACTATTACTTCTACTACTACTACTACTACTACTACTACTACTACTACTACTACTACTACTACTACTACTACTGCTACTGCTACTGCTACTGCTACTGCTACTGCTACTGCTACTGCTACTGCTACTGCTACTGCTACTGCTACTACTACTACTACTACTACTACTGCTGCTGCTGCTGCTGCTACTACGACTACTACTGCTACTGCTACTGCTACTGCTACTGCTACTGCTACTGCTACTGCTACTACTACTACTACTCCTGCTGCTGCTACTACTACTACTACTACCACCACTGCTACTGCTGCTACTACTGCTTCTAATGCTACTACTGCTACTACTGCTACCACTACTGCTGCTACTACCGCTCCTACTGCTGCTACTGCCACTGCTACTACCGCCACTGCTAGCCAACGAGTTTCCACAGCCAGGACCCAAAGATCGAACTCCGTACAATCTCTATCTTTTGATTTGCAACACAACCGCCTGTACATCATTGCATAGCACCAACATCAGGCCAAAATTAGTCTATCGACGGGTGCCTCTGCCAACCGCACCAGACTCACAGTAAAAGGCCAACTTGTTGCCCAAAGCACGATTGGCTCAGCACGATATTGCTCAAAAGCTTCGTCATAGTTCTGCAGGAATCCGTCTAAAGTTTGCCATGCAGTCCAAGATGCCAATCCTGCTGCCGCTCCTTGCATTTGGTCATTGCTTTGTGGCAGCAGGAGCGTGGTCGGCCAGAGCAACACATCGCAGAAGGTGGCTTTCCTGACTCCACGGTCAAGCTCGAGCAGTCCAAGCATTCCGGTGTCCGTGGCGGAGGATGAGGTGGTTTCAGAATGCCCTCACGATGACACAACCGAGGTGCGCTGCGGATTCTTGTTGCCAGACTGTGAGTCCTCATGCCGGATCTCGAACGGAAGCTACTGCTGCGTTGTGAATCTTGCAGTTGAGGCGGGTAGATCTTTGCGTGCGCGGAATAGTTGGAATGACTTTCAAAAGGTGTGCTCACGGTTGATATCCGGGTCGTCCGCCAAACAGCGTGCAGTGGCATACGGTATCTTCACCTGGGCAAGTCACAAGTACGATGCAGCCAAGTCAGCTTTTGCATGGACTTCGTTCTTATACAACCATGGTTCCTCAGCCCGACAGGGGTTCGATCTTGTCAAGAGGGCTTATGACTTGTACTCCGCTTTCAGATCGCTTTTCGAAGTGCAAGGCTTTCCGAGGGATTGCAAGTTTGAGCATCAACAGGATGGCAGAAGCAGGGTTGTTGAGGCTGGGCCGTTTCGGAATGAAGCTGCTGTTTGACAAGATTGTGCAATGGATAGAAGAACAGCTGCTTGCAAAGGTCTTGAGCAACATCATTGGCCAAATTGGAAAAATGCTGGAGGCATACATACTGTCGTGGTTCAGCCCGGCATGTTCGGCAGTTTTCAATCTGGTCGACGATGCATCTAGTTTGGTAGATGATTTGAATGGATACTGGGTCACGCCGCTGACTGCTCGATTGCTTCCTTTCGTCCTGGACTTGCTGAGCCCGATCGTCGCACGCATGCGTGATTATTTCTTCGACCTATTCTACGTCAACCTTGCCAAGCCTATTCTGACGTGACTGACTGACAGCGTTCTTGAATTGGGTGACACTCTACTTGGAGATTCGCTGACGGACTTCTTCTTGCAGCCCATTGCAAGCCTGATGAACGGTCTGGTCAAACCCAAGACTCTGTCAGAGCTATCCAATGTCACGGAACAAACAGCCCATTTTGGGTGCAATCTTGGGCAGCACGTGCCTGGAGTGGACAGCTTGTTCGACGATCTCCAGCACATGCATGGATCTGTGGAGCTTCCAAGCCATCCTGACGCTCATCATGTGTACCAGTATCATGGAGAATTCGGTCTTAGTCTGAAAGTGCGTTGGTTCGACATCACCTTGTGGAACAGAACGATGCCGTATGACGTGAAGTTGGCATTCCAGCCACCAGGGGTTTCTTTCTCAGAGGCTCGCTTCTACCAGCTTGCCGATGATGTTGCTGTAGATCCCATGTTGTCAGCTGAAGTCTCCCCAAGTCGAGTCAATCAGCGGCTTCTGATTGCAATTGTTTTGCTATTTCGCGTGTTGGGGTTCGTAGTAGTTGCAGCCCTGTTCTTGCTTGGTGCATTGGGACTTTATGGTTGCATCCGGCGATCTTACTTCGACTACCAACGGCTACAGAGGTATGACCCAGACGGCTCTGCCGCGAGGGTAGTTCTGCGGCTCCTAACCACCACACACCCGGCAGCTCGTGTGGAGGAAGAATCACCAAGTTGGTCGCAGTCTGCCAGGGCGGCGTGGACGTCAAGCTCATTGTCCTGCAAGCTGTTTGCAGTCGTTTCGGCTACTGCAACAGTGATTTTGTTTCAGCAGGCTTTACTCCTATGTCACCAGTGGCAGCTTCGCCAGATGTGACGCGCAGTTTTGCCCTATTGCAGCGCACGTTTCGTCACCGGAAGTACGGGAGTTTCCTAAAATTAGGGGTACCTTATTTTGGGGCCCTTACAATAAGGATCTTATTGTTATTTTAGGGTCCCTATTTTCGGAAACTGAAATATGAGGGCTCCGTGGCTTGAAGTGACCTCAGCGTTGGAGCCGTGACTATGAAGCCAGGGATGCTGGGAGAAAAGCAGACCGAGCCGAGTTGCCGCACAATCTGCGCAGTTGGCTTCGAAAGTTTAATTGCAATGGTGGAATGACCCTCAACTCTAAACTCTGAGTCCCGAAATGTGTGAAAAACCTTGAAAGGAAAGTCCACAGCCTTTTGCAGAAGATCCGGAAGGCCAAGTATCCGGCCATCAGCGACTGGGATGGATTTCAGCTAGTCAGAGTTAGAGCTTCGGATTTAAGGTAGTTTAGGCTTCAGGGTTAATTAGAGTTTGTTATTAGGTGTGGGGTTTCGGGCTAGAGCATAGTGTTTAGAGTGCAGCGTTCGGATTTCAGGGTCAGGGTTTAGGACCAGGAACCCAGCTCAGAGGTTAGGCTTGAGAGTTCATTCCATATGCCCTGTGTCCTGATGCATTAAGCATCAAATTAGAGTGACACCAGCACCAACCATCATTTGTCCAGTGCCCGGAGTTCCGGAACGGACTTGCCTCAACCGTTTGAGTCAGCTTGTGTTCAGTTCAAGGTTTGCTTGGGCTTACGTGTGTAGTACACTGTCGGAGTATTCGTAATTGCACCCCCCTTTCCCTGTATAAGTATACTATAACCCTATGCTTCCAAGGACCATATAGTTAGGGCCCCAGACCCCTTAAGGACCCAATAATAAGGTCCCCGGAAGTATAGGGTAATGTACCCCGGATCTACATATTTCGGCTCCAAGCACAGAACGTATGGGGGTTTGGGTGGGCTTTGCTGACTGGATCTCTTGGAAGCACCAAAGGCGAAGAGGAGGAAGCTGCCAGTGTCCCCCTTCAGTGCCTTGGAGTTGTGATAGAACCTAATGTCTCCATCGTACTTCCTTTTTTTTGGTTTAACCAGTTTTATATTAAAAACAATCCTAAAAGGTAACCCCAAAAAGGAACTACAATGGAGACTATAGGAATACTTCAGGTCTTACAGGATTTCGGGAACCCCAACTAAAATCCCAAACCTGAACTCCAAACCCTGAACCCTTGAGGGCTTTTTAGGGGTCAAGGTTGACTGGCTGCAGAATCAGAGGACGGATTTGACTTCGTCATTCGTGGATGCTGAGCTCCAGCCCCCAACTTGAAACATATTCGCCTCCAAATCGAAAGCCCCAATTAAGCCTCAGGTTCTTAACCCAAAAGCACCATGAACCTTCAGCTTAGAGCAGACATTGGTGCTTCACGGTTGTTGCCTGCGGTCAAGCTTTGGGCTTTCAGATTTTTGGAGCTGTCCAACGCACGCAACCGAAAAAGCCCTTAAAAGGTTCATAGACCTGTTATTGATAAGGGGTGAGTATCTGGGTACTCTGAAGCCCTCAGAAAAACCCCTTCATACAACCCCGCTAGGCAATAAATACAGTTTTCATTGCAACAAAGTTGCTCTTATAAAACGACCTTCTTATAAAGCGTAAAATATGTATGTGCAGCCCAGATTATTGGAGTTCTGCCGAGCTAATCCCTAAACCATGGGGGCAAGGCTGATCCTGCAGGGCGCCTTCGACGCCATCCTTATTCGCACCCTTGCGGATTTGAGGTTTTCGGAGCAGGGTGTTGAGCTTTATAGGGCTTATCGGGCTTACAGTTTCAGGTGCAGCTTGGGGTTTAAAGTTTAAGGTTTCGGGGTTTGGAATATTAGAGTTTAGGATTTAGGGATTTTAGCGGGGTTTCGCGTCGATCGCAGTTTTAGATCAGTGTCATGTTCAGGACGGCTGAGGATTCAGGGCAGTAGAAGGATGGGATGAGTTTCGGGGATTGCTTGTGAGCAGAAACCCCTGACACAGGGCCCTAAGCCCTAACCCCTAAACGCCTAAACCGTACACCTTCGTGTGTGGTGCCTTTACCTCGGGAAGTGTGGTGGTCTAGTGGCCTAGCAGCTTCCACCTAACCGTCGCGCCAAAGCCTTTTCGCATGTTGCCGGTAGACCTTCAAAACATCCAAACCCCAGAATTACGAAACGCCTCCCGAAAGACCTCAACAAGGCGTAGGATAAGCTCAAACCCCGAAGCCTTCCGAAACTACCCTTCGGCTGACACAGGGCCCTACAAAGAAGCACAGCAACACCACCCAACGAGGTTTGATGCAGCAGAAAGGAGGGTCGAATTGGGAAGTCCTTCGACGCGAGACCCTTGGCTGAGGGACCATACTGGATCCAAAAAGGGTTCAGGGTTTAGCTTTGTTTGGTACAAGGGTTCCGGTTCATAAGGATGCTGTACTGTCACATGTAGGTCACATGATTGGTAGCATGATCGCTTCATAGTCCGTCCAACATTAGTCTATAGCATAGCTCTCTTTCCCAAGTACTGTTGGTGCTTGCAGAATAGACCCCAGTGTCCATGTACATGATTCTCGTTTCATCTACTCGTCAAAAAGGCATACGTACAGCTACGTACAGTACTACTATCCAAAGCCCAGGGATCAAGACTAACGCAGGCTGTTTAGTTCGTACAACGGGAGAAGGCTATCGGATTTCTGCGACTGAACACTACACTGATCCTCTACGCCCTGAATCCCAAAGTTCAGAACCTTCAGTCTCGTGGAACTGTAACAAACTCTGAAACCTGTTGACCGCCCACAACTTGAGTTGACGCCTTCTTTCCACCTGAACCCCGAAAGCCTAAAGAAGGGTCCTGTGCCTTAGGATATGCACGTCGCTGAACAGCATCTCGGCTGCATGAGTTGGAGTTGAATTGAGCAGAGCTCTTCGTTACTTGGAGGTTGCTGCCATGCTTGTTTTGGGTTTTCGGTGTGTCTTCAACATCAACCCATGAACGACTTTATGCCCGTACCGGGGCCGGCTCTATGGTAGCGTTGCGGGGCCCTGGCCGCACAAACGTTTCCGTCATCACGACCACGAAGATTGCATGGCCGTTTATGGAGAGGAATCAGGAATGGAACTGCTGACTAATACCTACCGCTCTACCCAAGGGGCCCATGCTTTAGCCTTCTAGGATTTTCGGGGTTACCTAGACCCCAAAAGTATATAGAAATTTACCTACTTTTGGGGGTTTAGGTAGAAGATGATATTAAGGTTCAGATCCAGGTCCCTCGTGGACGACAAGTTTTTCATGTTGACCTTGAAATGGGGAGTTTCCGAAAATTAGGGGTACCTTAGTTTGGGGTCCTTATAATAAGGATCCTACTAAGTATCCTACTATTTAGGGTACTAGATTGGGGTCCCCTGTTTTCGGAAACTCCCAAATACCCCAACTTAATCGCCACGACGCACCCATCTCTGAAACCCTAACCCCTGACCTCATGGCAGAGCATCAGGCAAGAAGAGCTCCCTCATCAAAGGTATCCTGACGGGGACCTACAAGGACATCCTGCGTGGGATTGCCGTGCTCTGGGGTTCAGGGAGGGCCACGTACCTCCCATTGATCCCTAAACCCTAAACCCTAAACCCTAAACCCTAAATTGTACTTGTCCTTCTACTGCCGCAGGGGACCTGAACCCCAAACCATCCCAAACCCGAGACTCCTAAACCCTAAACCATCCTAGACCCTAAACGTAAGCCCGTAAACCCTACAACCCTAAACCCTCCCTTGGGCTCATATCTCAAATTCCGACTCCTATTCATGGTGGAGCCCTGAACCATCCACCATTGGACCAGGGTTCGGGGTGTAGGGTTCAGGGTTCGGGGTTTAATGCCTCGGTTTGCATCGACTCGGAGGTTATCTCCTACTGCTACATCGTCACTGTTTCAGTGTGTGGGCCGTCTCCCGGAAAAAAGCACGGTTGCCGTGCTGTCATTTCCCTTCTCACGAGTCCCATGGACTGTTGCGGAAATCTCGAACCGTGCTTTCTACGCCTTGTACCAAAAGCAAACCCGAAGGCTCTACGTGCAACAAACCTCTCCTGTGCTCCCAACTGTTACAGTAAAACCCATAAAGTGCAATAAAGTTGGAAACCGGATAAAGGCCAAACAGTGCTGGGATTCCCTACACATTACTC